TTATATATTATGCAAAAACTGTAATTTTGCAACTAATTTGTTAAATAAATAATCTAGCGTACACTCTACACTTAGTAACTTTTTATATGTTGTTTCTGACAACTTTACAAAGCGAAAAATAAAAAGTTCTCTCTTCCAGTAATTTTCGCGAAGTCAAAATCTATCTTGACTCCACTGGGAATAAAAAACTACTTTTTCGGGCTATAACTTCTTAAGGAAGCAAGATTGTACTAAGGTAAGTTGATTTAAATCACCTTATTCTCATCCAAGGAAGCTAGCCCTAAAGTATGGCCTGTTCTTTACTAAACACCCTGTATAAATACCACAAAATTTTGCAAACAAATCATTAAAAGAGATAGTTTACAATGTCTCCAATAGGTGACGATAATTACATGTTAATGACTCTATTAAGATATTGTGGATGGAACTTTATGAAGCCTTTTACAGTTGTCACTTGATTTCTTGTGCACTAAGAAAGAACAACAATTAGCATCAGTAGAGTTATGGCAAGGATAAATATTTTTTTAGAAAATAGACGGGCTTCCTTGTCCTTTTTCTCTCTTATTTGAAGATTACTTAACTTATTCTAACCCATTCCCTCCTACCCACCTGCAATATCTGCTCTGTCAAGAATTAAGTCGCCATACATCCCATTTATAATGTTCGATGTCTCATTTCTGTAACCCCAAGTGTTTGTCCAAATATCTACCTTAGAAGCATTCAACAATTCTAAAACATGTGAGATTATACCATAATTAGCCCTTGTTAATATGTCAGTGTGGGTGTTTCTAAAAATAGATAAACGTGTTTTCAAAAAATTAAGAATTTATATTTCTTTTATCGTTACCTATAATCCCATAAGTGATTTAAAGTGTTATTGTACATCACGACGTAAGAAACCCTAATGGGGCTTCCCAATAAGTCGGATCTGTTTGTAGAAAGGAAAAATTTGTTAAAATACAAAAATCTTTCCTGAAGGTGCCATTCTGCTACATCAATTTCGACATATCCTAGGTCCACTTTGTTGTTTTTATAAATGATTTTCACAGAAAAATGTAAATGATCCTTTTTTTCAACGACATACACCAAACTGTTGATAGGAAAATAAAAATTATATGACTTGATTACATCCAACTCTCCGAAAATGATCCAGACGGAGGTGGAATCGAAAAGATTACTCTTAAGGGCCTAAAATTGATTAACATTTATGCTTCCGTGGCATATTATTTAGAAAAATCTTACTTCTGTTAACTGCTCAACCGATCCCTCACAATACATATTCAACACGAAGACTTTATTGCCATTATAGAGTCTATACTTATTAGGATTAGTACTTAGCAACCCATGCGAAATGAAATTTTGTGAAAATCTTTTGGACAGAACGTTTAAATCACCTGAAACAAATATTTTACGACATACAAAAGACATATACGAGAAAATAATAATTATAAAGTCAGACCTCTTTTCCAACACAAGAAAGAAATAACTTTATTTGAATGCTTCAACTGGCTTATCATATCTGTCAAAAATTCCACATAGCGCTCTCTTCCTCGACTGTTCACATTTATTACCACAAGGAAGAGAAAAATAAATTTCGACGCTTTGAAACAAATCATGATGTTCGATTGAACATGAGAAAAATGCCCCTTATAATGTCCGTTATCATAGCAATAACACTAATAACTACTATTATCGATAATGACACGGCAATTTTCACATGCATCACAGTAATCAATCACAGATATTTGTTATTAGATAAAATGATAATTCAGTTCATTCTTTTAATAGCCGTGCATAAATATCTACATATTAAATCATTTCGAATTAAAGGAACAATTATGAAACATTTTTTTTTTTAATTAACTATTCATTCATAAATACTGATAAAAATAATTCATCAATTTTTATGTATTCTATATGTCGATAAAATACTTAATTTAAGACATAATTTGCTGCTTCTAGAAAATCTGACTGCTTTCTAAATTGCTAGTTTATTCGCGGCAATAGATATTGTCGTCCTCCAAGTTCCGAGTGTGATTCCAAACTTTCGCTCAAGTTTCTAATCGGAACCACGAAGCCGTCTCCAATTATTCTACGCAGGGCCAATTGCAACCAAACTAGGCTCATGTCCAAAGAAAGCCAAGAAGTAGGAGGAGGAGCCGCCAGAAAGACCTAAGCCATAGCAGGCAAAGGCCGATGCTGATGACAGAGCAGCCGACTGAAAAAATCACCCCAGTTTCGGATTTCGCAAAATGTGAGATTCGAACTGCGGGAATCCAAAAATAGACAAAATTCAGAGAGGCTAATTGTCCAAACTCAAAGCGGAGTTCGCTACAGAACATTTGTGGACCCATCAAGAAAATTTATCGAATTTGTAATCATTGTAATTAGTAGAAGTTCAATAAATCCTTTATTTAACAAACGTGGAAAACGCATTTATTTAATAATTCAAAACATTGTTCAAAATTTGTATAAATTTTTGCGAACTTACTGCTCCCGACCTAGATCTCAATTCTAGAGCCCCAAACAGCCAAGCTTTATCCAATCCAGTGATAAAAGTCCCACGAGATAAGGCAAGCTTTTGGAAGCTTCCGAACTCAAAGACACTCACATAAGGCTTACACAAGGTCCTAGAATCTTTCCATTTTTTCAAACCCTCAACACTCGTGCTAGGCAAGGCAAAGCTACAAAGACCGTGTTACAGATACAAGAGTAACCATATTCGAATACCCCAAAAACATAATACAACCAAACTTATTTAAAAACCTCCAGATCCGTGCCATCCCAAGTGTGTACAAGAGTAGAAAAAGGCGGTAGAAGTAATCCTCGTAATAATGATGATAAAAGACAACATGGCATCCAAAGTGGGGCTCGAATGTCTAAAACGCCAAGGGAAAATGATGAAAAACGACTTAAAATTTCCCAGAAATAGCATAATTTTTTAAAGAGAATAATATAAGATTAAATGAAGGACATACAGCAAATTTCAAAGTCGCCGAGGTAATTGTGAGAACGGCAGAGTTTTACGGTAAGCACTTAAGATCGAATAACATCTAAATAATAGTTACCTCTTATAAAAAAAAAACAAGCAACGGCGTAAAGAAAAAATACCTGATATGCAACGGCACAGACCTGAAAGCATAAGCAACGGCATCGACGATACCACTTACGAACAGGAGACCACGCCCACCATCCTACAGCGCAGGTGTGGACAAACGAGCAGCATGCCGGGAACGTACCCAAAACCACGCCCTCTACCTCCCTCCATAGAAGTAAAGGCGCGCGTGACAGTGCTGACGTGATCGGCAACACAAACGTGAACTCCCACCACTCTACTGCGCAGGCCTGCAAGATGCGCGCGCAACGACGTAAATACTATAAGACCGGTAACGACGCGACGTCACAAAAGATTAAACAATCAGAATTATATCTTGATATATCACTTTTGGTATGCGAACAAAGTGGTATAGTTACAAGAGTATTTTAGCCATTTTATGAGCCTGTTTGTTGTTTGTTATCCCGTGCGTTAAGCATTGGCGTCGTTTTACATGTTTTATTGTGTTTTATGTGTTGTGGTGTAAATAAATGATTCTTCGAGTGTGGCCCAATAGTGTGTCAAAGTTCAATATCTCCCTTGTTATAAAGATTTGAAAAGAAATATTTTATGGGAGTGATGTACTTAAAATAGATCACATTTTAAAAATATTTTGAATTATACAGGGTGATGCATTATGGCGGCGCATCTTGAAGGTGGTTTTTCTTAAACGGAACACTGTATATTTTTACAAATTTGTATTCTACAGAAAATTCTCTTTCCAGCAATGTCTTGGTTTTTTGTATTTGATGATGCCAAGTTATTTAAAAAAATAAGATAATATTCGCTGGGACAGGGTTCTGTAAATCTATCCACTGCAATTCTTTTCATTTTTCATTCTTTTAATAAACATTGAAACTTATGTAATTATTCAGTAGTTTTAACATTAAATAATTTCATTATTAGACTAGTTTAACTTAAAAATAAAATAAATCTAAAATTCGCTTTTAAAACACTTTTTCATGTAAATAACCACGTCTTTGCATGTCACTGTTATTTTCTGCTGCACATAAATTCCTGGCTTTTTTGTTAGTACATCCCTGTTTAGCGCAACAAAATTTCACTGAATACAATCCTGACTTTGTATACCAAAAGTGGAGGATTTACGTCATTCAAGGTCACTGACAGCAGTGATCAAAGGTGCCGACAACGTGATATAATTCTGATTAATTAAACTTTTGTGACGACGTGGTAGGCACTAAGCAGCCTTAGTCTTAGTAAAACATTTGCAGCGTTACCACTAAAGATGCCGACATTGAACAATTGCTAAATGTTTGGAGGCATTGGATGCGACCAGTTATAGAGACCATTACGGAACGCCTCATAGGACCACCTAATCTGTAACTGTTGGTGGTCAAATACAGATATAAGCCCCATTTCAATCAAAATATTTGTTATTTGAAAAATTCGTTGTTAAATATCTGCAATGGCTTCTTAAAGCTGTTGAAGATAGTTTCAAACATAGAAAATTCATTCATGTATGTATGTACAACATATCTAGGGGAAGGTTGCCAAATTTGGACCAGTTTTCGGTTTTTGTTAAATATCTCCGTATGGATGCAAAATATTCGGGTTCGGAGGTCAGAAACATAAAGTATAGTTCTTCTCTAAACTATTTAACGCAAAGTAGCAGTGAAAATGGTATTTTACAATTCAATATCCGTTTTTGAAAAACTTTTTGCAACTGGTACAATTTAGGAAACTGGTTGCCTAAATTGAACCGGAGGTATCCTAAATTGGACCGTAAAACAAGAGTACAAAAACAAGTGCAAAAACGTGTTTTATTCATTAGTAGGTATAACCCAAACATTGTTGACAGTAATATATTTTCCGAAGAGGACTGACATTGGCGCATTCCGCGTGAACCCACACATCACACTGCATACACTGGATCATGTCCTTCTTCTCATTTGCCTTGCACAAAGGACAGAACCAAGAGGTTTTCTTGCTTTGTTTTTTTATTGTTTTTTGGTTTTTGTTGTTTTCCTTTCCTTCTTGCCGTTTTCTCCTTAACAACAATCAAGTTGTCCTTGTAAGGGGTACTGGTTAATTCTTCTGCCTTTTGAGCTCCTTTCGACAACCTTTGAGTTTTGGTGGGAACTGGAACTGGAGAGAGTTCTTCGATAGACACATTTAACGACGACTTCTTCACTTCATCGTTGGTTGCGTTCCGATTAGTGCCTGATGTAGAGGGTCCCTGGTCAATAAAGCTTCCTTGCATGCTGCATCCTAAATTTCTTTTCGCCTTATTCGCCCTTGCTCTTCTTTCATTTATTAAGGTTTCAAGTGGATTGTCTTCTCGATTTTCTTCGCTCCCATCACCATTGATTTCTGCATCCTCCATTGGTTGATCTTCTTGACAAAGATTATCTGCTGCAGCAAACTGGTGGTCGGCAAAAACACCCCTATCAATAGGCCAAATTCCAGCTGCTTTAAATCCATTTACAGCGGTCTGAATACACGCTGCTTTACCATAAGCTTCAGAGAGCAGTTCCGATACCTGGAACTGTGTTACTTTCATTCCAGGGTTGGTTCTTAACCAACGTTCCATCGCCTGGGTGTAATAAGTTTCCATTGGCTTAAAAAAAGAAACATCGAGCGGTTGGAGCCGATGTGTCGTGTGTCCAGGTAGTTGAAGTAAAATTACTCCATTTTCACGCGCTAGCATCAACGCGTCTAGATTTTTACTGTGAGTGGAATGGCCGTCCAGTAACAGAAGAACCTTCATCTCTTTATTTGGCTTCACCACACTGATGAAATGTTGCAGCCATTTACAAAAAAGTTCGGAATTTATATAACCGCTTTCAGATATTTCGACTAAACTGCCAGGAGGTGCACCTACTTTGAGCTCAGGAGACATTCTCATACGCTTGAAAATCAGCATAGGTGGAATGAATTGACCCGCTGCACTGACACAGCAAACCATTGTGGTATTCACACCACGTTCCCCACTTGCAATCGCCCCTATTTGCTTCTTTCCCTTTAGTCCAATTATTTTCTGCGATTTCTTTTGTACTGTTGAGAAGCCACTCTCATCGACGTTGTAGATTCTGGTGGCGTCTAATTTATTTTCGGCATTGATCCTTTCGAGTATATCAAAAAAGTGATAAAGATTTTGCCTGTTGAAACCTCTGGCTCTGGCTATCGACGTTGATTCGGGCTGCCTTAAGGTCAAAGTTGGATGACGCCGCATGAATGCATAGTACCATTTTTTACCCGCAAGACTCTTTTGCATACTGAACTTATGTGCGATATTATTTTTTGCTGCGATTTCAAACGCAAGTTTTCTTATATCCGTTATGGTCAAGCCAAACATCATCTCCTCCAATTTTATTATATGCTTCACAAGTTCCTCTTCTATGTCTTTTAGCAAAATTGTGCCTTTGCCAAATTTCTTAGTGCCGGCATTAGCTATTTTGTTCTTATTTTCAATATGTCGCTTTAAAGTAGCCTTGCACATTCGTTTAGCCCAATGCCCTCCTGAATGCGTCGACAGCCAACTGGAGTTCATTTTCAGACCACTTTCCGTATTTTCCTCTGCAAACCGCAAAGAAACAGAATTAAAATTAGTTCTAAACAGATCAGTTTCCTAAATTGGACCAGTCCAAATGAGGAACCCTCGTGCGGTCCAATTTAGGCAACCGGCAGTTTTTGTATTTTGTCTATGCGTGTAAAAGGAGCACATAACCCAAACAGCCACACAATGCACTCCAAAGAAGGGGAAACAAACAAGCTTTCGACTACTGCAATGAGATTTGCGATACGACTTACCGTTTTTCCATGATTTCTTTAGCGACGATGTCACAATATTACATCAGGAACGCGCGAAATCGAATTTCATGTGGCATCGATACGACACATCTGCTTGGTAACAGAACACTGATGCATTCGCAAGTGTTATTGTCGCAGATGCTGTGAGTGCAGGTGGCGTTGCAAATATATGCTCCATACTAAAAATATCGGGCTGGTCCAATTAAGGCGGTGGTCCAAATTTGGCAACTTTCCCCTACATATTTTATTTAAGCGCAAATATTTTTGACCATAAATCAAATTTTAATTAACTCATTAATTAGAATACTTGTGTGTAAGGACGCGTCAAATGCTAACAATTCAGCGGATAACCTAGACGCACAAATAATAAATAAATAAAAAACATATTAATCAGCTAAAAAAGGAAGTCGGAAACGCTGGGTCATTCGCTACTATTTTCATAGTTTTGTATTGACGGCAGCAAGGTTCTCACACCATGAAAAAATGATTTATTCTGACAATAACAGGAAAGCATCGTTTGAAACTTCATGGTCCAATTCCAACTTGGCACGATTTTGTAAATGAGGAGGTTACAGTAATCCCTTCGAATTGTTGAAAAGAGGTGTATTTTCTTTAAATTCACAATTTCTACGTACAATACTAACAGGTGCCTATATTTATAGCAAGATACAGAGCGAATCTTAAATGTGTACATGCATTTTAGCTGCGTAAAATAAATATAAACCGTATTTCTCAGTAATTTATCACCAATTTATACATAAAATATTGATCTACAAACTATAACTTGCACATTCCAAATACCTAATACGATTTTCTTATCTTTTACCATCTAGTACTGCTTTTATGTACAAACCAATGGATGACATAAACACACATTTTTAAGACTAATATGGAACTTATACGTCCTCAACTTTATCTTACAACATCAACTGATTTTGTAAATACCTAACTGGTGTGAAATTTAAAACAAGTTCAGTACAAAAGAGAATTTTTCGCTACACGGCTTTGCAGATATTTGTTTTAAATCCATTCATCCGCATACACATTTTGAGAACCACATGCGAGGTTGCCAAATCATATACCAAGAAAATTATTTAAAACAAAAACTCACTGTTAATTATACAAGGTATTTGTAAATAAGTGCGAAATATTTTAGGAGATGGTTGCCGAAGTTATTTTGTGAAAAATGTTCATACAAACGTAGGTCGAAATATGCTTCTTTTCCGAGATACAAATTGTTTAAATTTAAATTTTTTGTTTATTTCTATTAATTGTTTCAAATAGTTTTAAAGAAGATGTTGTCTTGCTTCACCATAACACAAATGCTTCACTATAACACAAATGTTGTCTTACTTCACCAAAAATTAAAACGATCTCCATCAACCCCGAGTTGCTATATACTTACGTCACCCATTTTTGACACTTTGAAACTAATGTAAACACAATTCGGAATCACCTGGGGCCACGTGGCGAGAGCGCATTGTATACAGCGCCGAACGCGAATGACTTTCGAGACTACATAGTCCAGCGATAAGTTGTAAATACTACACAACTTCAATAATTTTTTTCTCGGAAATTTTTTTTTACGATATTGACTCCATTTTTTATGACGCATCTCTTCCCATTTTTTTTTTGATAAGTTATGAATCGCCCTGTACACACAACAAATGTCAACAGGTGTTCTACTGCTTTCTATATTATAGACATAGCCTCTCTATCTGAGACCCATTAAAAATTAATTTAAAAAGTATGTAGATTGCGATACACAAATAAAGAATATTTTTGGAATGAGTTAATTTTTAACAATATGCTTTAAATATGTAAAATAAATTGTTTACCGCAAACTTCAACTCTCGCCTCGAAAATCATATCAACAATTGAACATTGAGTTTAAAAGCAACAATGTTGTCAAAAACCATTGTTGGATAAAAATGGCAAGGCAATAACCATTTACAAACATTTTTATGAAGATATTTGAACATTTCTTGGATATATTGTCTAAAGAAATTGCCTATCTAATTTTTCTTTCCATATCTCCTGTTCAGAAGAGACAAATTTTATTATACGTAAGTACCAGACAGAAGTCAGTGGTTCACAATACTTTTTATTAAAAAATCGTTCATATTTGTTTTAAATTTTGCTGTCTCCCTAAATTTTTTGCGAAAAAAGCTATTATTTACATGGTTTACTTCTGGAAAACTGTAGAAATTACAATATGTGAATAATATTTGCCTAATTACCTAATAATAAAAGAGTAAAAATAAGAAGTACTTTAAAATAAATGAAAAAATTATATAGTAGCCATATGTAATATGTATACCAATATATTTCAACTGGTGACTAAAGTATCTTTATTTAAACTTGTTGAATACATTAAGGCCCGGTACTTTGAGTCTCGGTTAAGCCTTGGTTAAGTAATCACATGATTGTACTGATTTATTTTATAAATGTATATTCACAGTCTAATCATCTGATTAGCTAATCAAGTCTTAACCGAGACTCAAAGTACCGGGCGTAAGGTACCGAGTAAGAAAGAAGTAAAAGCTATTTAACTGCGTCGCTCCATAAAATAGTGTTTTCTACAAAAACGAAAAATTATAAACATTTAATAGCTACTATTTAGGGTTTAAAGAATAACAATAACTTTATGTTATGACACCCGGCTATTTTCAAGGACAACGGAGAACGACAAACAAATAGCAACAGAAACGAGCTGACATAGACTCTTTTAAATCTTTCTTCTCTACAAAAAAACTTTATTTGATTGAAGTCAAGTATATTTAAAAAATTGAACTTAGTCGAAAAGTGTATTCGTTTTCCTTATTTTTTGTAATGTTGAAATTCAATAAATCAATAAACTTTTAGGTATTAAATCGTCACCTTTTGGCAATATAAATACTAACAATACCTGAACTGATTTAGTATTTCAAACATTCTTATTTATCTTCAGCGGTGCTTGGGATTTCTAGCTTTCGAATTACATCGATTTTTCTGCATTTTGTGCCGCTGATACGCTCTCCATAAGGAATTTCAAATTGTGGAAGGTCAACAGAAATAGAAAAAGTCTAGTATAAATTGGAAACTGGTACAACTGTGTTGTAAATTAAATTAAGTAGTTGTATTTCCTACTTGTTTCCAATAATTAAATTTTTAAACAATGACGCAGAAGTATTTCCCAATCACAGTTTTAAGTGCCTGCTTTTTAGTCATTATCTCAAACTAGTTTTTACACCTAACTACACATGTTAATAACTTTAAAAAAAAAATGCTTTCGTAAATAATAGGATTTCCATACTAAGTAACTCTTCTCTTGTAAAACGTAAAAAGAAAAAGATACATTTAAAGCGAGACCAAATTAAATTAATTCAGTATTTTTATGACTTACGTTCAGAGTTCGTTTCATTCAGACTGCGAGGCTGATGCAAGACCTTGTTTTGCTAAATCATTGTTAATTTTCCAATTTCCTGCTCAATTAATGATGCATTTTATTTTAATTAAAGTAAATTGAATTGGTGTGTTTTAAAATTGCCCCTTCACTTTCAAAACTGCGTTGAAAGAAACTGAAAATGGAAAATCGGATTAAATTATTCTACCAATTACTGCCAAATAAAATGTTCAAGGTTCGCATTTTTCTTTACTTTTTGAATTTAACAAGTAGAATGTCACACAAAGTCCAGCCATAAATAAAGCCCAGTTTACAATGGCAGAACTAACTGTGATCTAAGTTGGAACGTGTGTGGTAGACTTTAAAGAGCACGTGACAATTTATTTATATGTAATAATAATAATAATCTATCTAATAAATATTGTAATTACTAAGGTTATAATTTTGGGTTTTTTAACCGTCATTAAGCTAATAGTTTTTTTGGGAATTTTAGTGCCTTTTATCTGTTAAAACTTTAACTGCGACAGATATAAATATAATAAATAATAACATCGAGTTCAAGGCCACGCCGGTCAGTGGTGTACAAAAACGGTAAAACTGTCTTGAAATACTTATTTTATAGTCTAAAACTGAAAATATTATACAGGGTGTTTCTGAAATAAGTGCGTTCCTTGAAAATGGTGATAGAGGGCACGAAATTGAGCAACTTTTATTAAGCAACTGATGGTCTAAATGCTTGTTTTCGAGAAAATTAATTAAGAAAATTAAACATAAATGTAAGCCGACCCTGTGCATCTTGTGCACGTGTGTTGTGTGTTGCGGGATTATTTAACCGACGTATAAAACTAACAGTACCGTGTGGCGTGTACTACGGGAACAATTATTACATCCCTATTATGTACAAAGGGTTCAGGCATTAAATAACAACGATTTTCAGCCCCGTGGGGATTTAGCCTGTGTTTTCAACATCAAATAGCACAAGATCAGGATTTTACAAGCTAGGTGCTTTTTACGGAGGAATATTGTTTTACTAGAGACGACATACTAAATTGTCAAAACATTCACCATCAGGGCGGATCTGTCGAAATATCCCACTTATTGGATGGAAGAGAAGAGCAAGCTAATTTTTGCTGGAATACCTTCAGTACAACTCACATAATAAAAGTGTAGATCCCTAGATCTGGGGGAGGCCCGGAACATTTTCAAAATTGCAAAAAAATTAAAAACCTATGCATTTTGCAAGAATATTGAAGAGGAAAGATGTTTTAGAATTGGATTTTGCAAATTTAATTTAATATTTAAATTTATTACGGATGTTATAAAATAGCAATAATTGATGAGAAAAGGGCAAAATA